CCTATATTGAATTTTATCTACCTAGTGGGCGTTGGATATTTTTCATCAAGGTGAAAGGCAGTCATATGGATTTCGCGTGGACAATTTTATATGGAGTACAACACATAAAAACAAAAGGTGTTAAATTATCCGTTAAAACTATAATTATATTATATAAATAATAGTTTTAACAGATAATTTAACACCTTTTGTTTTCATGTGTTGTACTTCATATAAAATTGTCCACACGAAATCCATATGACTCCATATGACTGACTATATATATATATAATTATTATTTATATATTACACGATACAAAACTTGATTTCCGTTGAAATTCCCATAAATCCGTACCGTAGCCGCGCAACCCTAATTGGATATCCCAGAAGGTTACGTTGTTATTCCGAGGACAGTAACATTCCTAATGTTACTACCGGTGCTGATTAATTTGATTTCGGTTCGGTGCATTCTCGGCCGTGTTATTCGACCGTCGGATCGGTTCGAACGTCGCCAACGGAGGCCGTCGAGTTTTTCTGGAAGGCCGGAGCTAGCCCGCGTGTAACGAGCGCGTGCTGTCTTTGTTTTGCGTCCTTTTCGGCTTGTCACGTTTTAAACTGAATGAAACGAGTTTCTTACCGGGGATAATGATCTGGGCTCTCGCAGAACGTCTGGCCCGGCTTCGCGCAATTAGGCGTGTGCCCCGGTGGCGCGGGAACAAAAGGCTCTAACTGCGGTCGTCCTGGGCATCCGTATTCGATGCACGGCTGGCTGTGCGCGTTCGCCAAGGACAGCTGAAATCCAAATTCGTTTCCCACATGAAATCATCGTCTGCGCTACGGAACCGCTAATAAAGCAATAAGAATAATTAAATATGCAGTGGCGAGCAGAATTCCGTAGACAGACCTAACCTATATGTACAACGTGTGCAGGCTTAACCTATATTTGTAACGTTCGAAGGATTTTAAGGTTATTTAGGTTAGGTCTGGATTAGGCAAACGGTAATAAAAGATAGATAGAGCCTATCGAAGTGAACGTAAAAGTTTTACACAGATTTGTGAACATTGCTCTTTAGAGGTACAATCATATAAATAATTGGCGAGGTTATAAATACTTCGAATTTGATGCATGACTAAGAATATAGAACAATCAGAACGAGCATGGATTAACAATAATAAAATTGCCATTTATAGTCTATTGCACGTCCTAGTGCACGACGTAGTGCATTTTTATACAGTAGTTTAACGCAGTATAACATAATATAGTATAACATGGTATAGCATAATACAATATGATATGCACATAGTACAACACACAACATAGAGTATATATATATATATAGAGTATATATAGTACTATATATATAGAGTATATATATAGTACAATGTAATACTATATAATATTGCAGGCTCTAGTTTTTAAAGGGAAATGTCAACGAAGTCTAAATTAGATTGAATGCAAATTTGGCGACAAATAAAGATATTAATAATGTTTTAATTTAAAAAATACCATCGAATGATTTCTGGATTTTTTCGAAAATCTTTCTTGTCATTTTAAGGAAAGTAGAAGATAGAGTAATGTAGTACAAGAATGTGCATCTGACGTAAAGTGGTCTCCCTAATTCGTTATCGAATATTGCAAACAGTTTACGCGCTATTATGTGCAGCACAAATCATTGAAACCGGTTCAAGGAAGAATGAATCACTCGGATTCCGCAACCAGTTAGAGATTTCTCCTAATAATGATCTTTATAGGAATTTTATAGGAATAACGCTCTAATTAAGTCTATCGATGCAATCTGCTTGCATCAATTTGCCGTGCAAAGTCTGCTCCATTTAGATGCAAAACGAGAAGATTATAGTTTTTAATAAACTTACTAATTCTAATAAATAGAAAATTGTGCAACATTTATTATTTCTCTTAATAATTCTAATGAATTTAAAATAACATAACATTTATTTTTTCCCTTAACAATTGCAATGGATTGAAGATAGTGTAACATTTATTTTTTTCCTTAATCATTGTAATAAATTAAAAATAGTGTTGAAATATGTTTTCGGGCACCTTAAATGTTTTCATTGTGTTGCATTCGACCTAGTTATTGTTTTCATAAATAAATAAAATTTGCTGATTATAAAAATCTGACAAAAATTAACTACATACAGCGACGTTGGTTTTGATGCAAGTAAAAATGTGTTTGCAAGCCAAATATTGAACTTAATAATATTTTGGATTTGGGTGCTTCGAACTATTGCCAGATTATGGCAAACAAACATTTCACAGCAAAGAAAAATTTTTAGCGAAACACATTATACAACTCGACATTTCGACTTTTGGCCACCTAATGCGGGCTACCAGACCATTGTGCGACGTCCCATTAAAAAAAGTACACGTTCTTATGGCGTTGCGCAACGTGTATCGCGATACTAATCGGGATAAGGAATAGGAAACTCGGTTCGTCGCGTGTTATCGAGATCGAGTATAAGAATAAGCCCGTAAGCCATTCACGAATCTCTTCCCATCGGCCTATTTTCGAATCGGGAATTTTGAAACGAACGATCCTTATCCGACCCCGGTCGTTAACACGGATTTAACTCTGACGTAATATCCTGGTGCAGCGGCGTTTAACTGCTTTCTTATGCCACTTTCAATTGACTCATCCGTATGACACAGCCTAGCCGGCACCGTGTTTCATCGGATCACGACGGAAATCAGTCGTGTACCGCGAAACCACTTTCGTTCTGACGATTCGCGAGTTGACGTGGCGAAACCGCGTCACCGCTCATGCGCTGGAAATATTAACAAGCACTATTTTGATCCGCACACTAAGCAATGAAAGCTACGATTTCATGAATATCACTGGCTGCTTAAATTTACAGCCCCACACTTTTACTACCGCAGGTCTCGATAACAGTAGACAAGAGATAGACAATGTATACGTGGAACAAATTTTTCTTTTCAGTTATTTTCATTTTACGTTTATTTTTGTAGTACCAATGGACAGTTGAGATCCTTGCGATTAAAATGAGCCCAAACACGATGGAAATTGGACCACGTTTGTCGATCTGTTATATACTGGGTGAACAAAACAACTTGATCACTTTGAATATTTTACTAATGCACAAATGTCAAAGCAAAAAAGATTGCTTGATTTACATGGATGAATGTTATGATAAACAGAACATTTTTCTGAACAATTTTTGCTATTTTAAGTCACTGACGTTTTCTTAAATGAGAGTTTATATTTTGATCATTATCTTGACATAAATATTATCAAATTACCCATAAGTAATCACCATAAAATATTTTCCTACGACATTCCTTCAAATGATCAAAGACAAAAAAATTTACTCGAAATGATCGTGTTATTTTGTTCACCCTGTAGATTGGCCATACTAGAATAGCTTAAACTAATCCGAATTGCATCGTGTTTGTACTCATTTTAATCAGAAGAATCTCAGCTATCCAACAGTTCTAACATCGCAAAGGTAAGACGATAAACACTGAAAATGAAATTTGCTTTATTGCATGTTGATTTTTTGCTGTTGTCCCTTTAACTACCGAAGCCGTGGTTCTAATGCTAAGAATGAGTATTGCGTCAGACTCGGTAACAATGAATTCGCATTCTTCTCTATTGTTGCAAAGTGACTAGCTCCGATGAAGATCTTCGCGCGCCCGATCATTAATTACGGATGATCTTACATCAGTCTTTACACGAGCGTCCACAATTTCACTTAGCTTTCACGATGCGCACGAAACGACTGGTCTGGGTCTGAAACACGAATTTCGTGGTCAAAAGTTAATTTCTCAAGTTTTAAGCTATTGGCAACAGTTCTTTTTTTAACCCTCTGGAAAACCTCGAAATCCGAAGTATCAATTAATTTCAGATGGTTCCGGATTTCGATTCAGTATTTTAGAAACGAACTAGCAAAATTCGAGATAACAGTATAAATTTTCTGTGCGCAACGGAGTTGAGCATTCTTTGAATAAAATTTGATTCAAACAACATTTCGAATAATGATTTGAATGATTCGAATAACGAGTTGAATAAATTCTTCGAACAAAATTTAATTCGAATAATATATTGAATAATATATTAAATAAATTCTTCAAATAATATATCGAATAATATATCGAAAACATTCTTTAAATAATGTATCGAATAATATATCGAATAAATTCTTCGAATAAAATTTGATTCGAATAATATATCGAATAAATTCTTCGAATAAAATTTGATTCGAATAATATATCGAATAAATTCTTCGAATAAAATTTTATTCGTATAATATATCAAATAAAATTTGATTCGAATAAAATATTAAAATATCAGTCTTAACAACGGTATCATTCGTGAAATATATATAAATAAAACTTTCTATTTATGAAATGTAGAGGTCACCTTGATTCTTGAAAATGTTAATATATATTTTCGATTGCATAATATTTTTAGCTGGTGTCAAGACGAGTTCGACGACCTATCCTGATATAATCTCAAACATTGAAATAACAGTTGAAATCATTTTGGCCACCGAAAACGAACTCCAGACCACCGTGGATCGTTCGTTTCGTAGAGATCACCCGCGTCGCGGCTTTTGACGCAGAGCACGTCACGTGTGCGACCGTAAAACCTGTGTTCCTATGCTCGGTAGACACGCGCCTCTGCGGAGCTGCACTTTCACGCACGATTCGCAGACACGCGAACAGAGTTGCGAATTAGAAACGTCGTTTAGACGCTTCCGTGAATTTTTACGCGGTCCCGTTTCGCGTGTCGTGGTTCTTGGCGCAGCGGGGCGATTCTTGAGGCAAGGGTTCCGTTCAAATACGCCTAACGAGTTTTTAATGTCTCTTTTGTACGATCCTTCGTGATAAATACTCGATATTTAACAGATGACTGAACCGTCGTTCCATAGAATTCTTATAGTGGCATTTTTACCGGAGAAAGTGTCAACTTTTGTTTGGTACACTGGGGTCACGAGTGACCCCGTCACGGCATTTCTTTTTACTTTTGTAGTGAAAGTTCCATTTTTCACGTTTTTATTATCTTATGTAGTAATTGAGAATTAAATGTCGATGCAGCATTCATCTGGAATTAGAATAAAACCTAAAATAAAACGAAAAAATCTAAAATAATATTAAAATCTGAAATAAAACCGGAATCTATAATAAAGCTAAAAAATCTAAGATAAAATTAAATTCTAAAATAAAACTAGAATCTAAAATAGAATAGAAATCTAAAATAAAATGAAAATTTAATATAAAAAATTAAATTCTAAAATAAAGCTAAAATCTAAGATAAAATTAAATTCTAAAATAAAGCTAAAATCTAAAATAAAATAGGAAACTAAAATAAAATAAAATTCTAAAGTAATGCTAAAATCTAAAAAAAAACAAAGATCTAAAATAAAATAAAATTCTAAAATAAAGCTAAAATCTAAAATAAAGTATCAACATCATGATAATTGATGTCTTCTGCTATGATGCTACATGCGCTACATACATGTGCTACATCGTTTTTTAATTTCTATGCACTATGAGTAAGCGTAACACAATAAAAAAAATTTAGGTGATTTTAAAGTAACCCGTTACGGTATAGTAGACTGCAAAGAAGATTTTGTCGCAAAAAGATAGTCCTTGGAACCATTCAACTTTTTTGTAGTGTTGCGATTGAAAAATAGCTGAAGCTGAACCTAGTTGCACAGGCTGCATATGGATGAAGCTTTGTTTGAGCGGCACGAACAGCGTTGCTTTTTTTTCGCGTAGCTGTACCACGCTATTCCCCGCATCGATTCACAATTACTTCGCAGAAAAAGAACGATATTTTGCGGTCCTATTTTTACCGCCTACAATAATCCTTCGATCTCAAAATATAGCAATAGAGTGTTCGCATATGAAAGATTCGGATAATCGAGATTCTATTGAATAATAATATTGATATATATATTTTTTTTATTGATATTTTATTGGCATTATTGATTTATTATTATTGATTTTTATAATCGTACTAATAAGTACGAGACGTAAAAGATCATGCTTAAGCCATCGAACTAGCAACACAATTTTTAATAGAGTATATATAACCTCCAAAAAAAGTATACATAACCTCTTAGCTGCAACCAACGACTATACTCGTCATGCAAAAATGGTGACTATTTGTGTAACGACGAGTATACTCGTCACGCGTTAATAACAACTTTTAATACAATGACGAATATATTCGTCGCCAATGTTTCGTCCACCGACGAGTACCTCCGTCATGAAGAAATGACAATTATTTTGTTTAACGGCAAGTATATTTATATCATGAAGAAACATCAATTATTTTATACAATGACGAGTATACTCGTCACGCAAGAATGATATTTTCTTTCAGAATGACGAGTACACTCGTCACGAAGAAAATGCAATTTATTATAATTATGCTAGTCTTTAAGAAATAACAGTTTATTATCTAATGACGAATATACTCGTCATACAACAATCGCAACTATTTTACAAGTACACTTGTAAGAAATGTCACTTCTTTTGACGAAAATACTCGTTGTGATGAAATGGCAGTTTTTTCCGCACTGACGAGTATACTCGTCATGAAGAAATGACAATTCTTTCGACGAATATACTCGTTGTGATGAAATGGCAGTTTTTTATGCACTGACGAGTATACTCGTCATGAAGAAATGGCAATTCTTTCGACGAATATACTCGTTGTGATAAAATGGCAATTTATTATGTACCGACGACTATACTCATCACGAATACATGGCAACTTGTTACGTGCCGACGAGTGTACTCGTCACGAATAAATGGGAACTTGTTATGTACCAACGAGTATACTCGTCACGAATAAATGAGAACTTGTTATGTACCAACGAGTATACTCGTCACGAATACATGGCAACTTGTTATCTGCCGACGAGTATACTCGTCACGAATAAATGGCAACTTCTTATGTACCGACGAATATACTCGTCACGAATAAATGGCAAGTGCATCAAGATTCGCTAGCAACAGCGATTGCAACGGGAATCTCGAGACATGGTCGGAAAAGAATAGAAACGAGGAATCGATCGATCACTTACGATGATCAGCGTGTCCAGCAGCGGCCTCATTTCGGCGGGGTCCCGTCGAGGGTGCAGGATCGATCTCCACTGACACTTCGGCAGAACTGAGCTGTCGCGACGGTCCGCGTTATCGTCCGTTGGATCGCGCGGCGCGCACCTTTCGCGGGGCAGGTGTCACGACGGAAACGCGACGGTTCGATCACATAATTATCGTCGCGGGGATCGACGGTGACACGAGGAACAGGTATCCGAAGCGGGCGGGCGAGCGCGTGCCGGTAACCGCGTTGCAGAGGATGCGCCTAGGCGAGCTGTGCGGATCGCGGAACCACCGACACGTAATCATCTAGTCGCCCGACTGTTGACAGCTATTGTTCCCCGCGGCTGGATAACGATCACGGTGCGCGGCCGCCGGCTGGCTGGCTTCGGTTTCCCGCCGGTAAACTGTGCGAATTGAGAAACAATTAAACAATGGCCGCGCCGATAAGCGTTCAGGAGCGGCAAACGAGCCTCCAACGTCGGCACCGCGCGGCGACTGTTATTGCATCCGGGCAGCCGATGAAACTCGGCGATAGACCGCGCCGCCGAGGAAAATTTCTAAGGAACGCCGGCCAAGTGTGAAACCATTGTTCACCGGTTTCGGGAAACCGGCGGCTCGCTATCGCCGTTGCCGTTCAAAAATTTCACGCTCCGCGGAATCCAATTTCCAAATTCCATTCGCGGCTGTGCCGATCAAAAGATCGCCTCCCAGCGATATCGTTCGCCCAGACCCGAGAGGGTGGCTTCACCCCTACGCGCGGATGTAGGTCGTTCTACCTGCGTACAGGCGGTTTCACAAACGACTTGTCACACTTGGCTGATTTAAGGCCGTTTAAGAAATCGCTGACTCTGTTGCCGGTCGGCTTACCTGGGCGACTTTGCAGAGGCTAAACACTTGGCGGCTTGACACGGACACTCGGTAATCGCACTTCCTCACTGCACTTCACTGAAAACGATCGGGAGACCAGGAAAATGAGGACGGAGTGCTCGGTTGATCACCGCCCGGTCACACTGTGGACGCGCTCGCAAGCATCGGCTACCTAAGGCCAGCCGGCGCCAGTCGCTGTGCTCCTGCTCCGCCGGGTTCGGCCGCTGTCAGAGTCCGTCCGACGGTGTTTTACGCGCGACGGTCTTACCCACGGCAACGTGGGTGCTCCTATCTATACCTGTACCCTACGCCCGGGCCCCCTTCCTCGTGGACGCGTGCACGAGTTCCGATCTAGGGGGCCGGCCGGGTGGGGTACCCGATACACTTTCACTGGCGTCCGTGGTCCGAGGCACCGTCCGGTCGACCTTACGCGTCGACGACGCCTGACGGATGGTCGTTTTCATCGAACGTGTCCGAACGTGTCGTCAAACGAATCGGTATCTCGAATAAAAAATCTCGGGAAAAGAGAGAATTAGAAATTTGATATTGTCAATTGCTATCCCACACGAAATCAAAGAAACGAGGAAAGCTATGACACAGGACGTTCTATTTTTCCAGATTCAGTTTGTTTATATTTATTCCGAAGGATGACGTTTGTAAGCCGAGTCCAATGAACCAGATTAGATCATGAGACGCAGCATCGTCTCGCGTCAAGTAATTGAGTGACGCGCGACGCTAGTTGCGTATCTTTTCTTTGACCGAAACGGCCAAAAATTTTAATAGCGATTTATTCTTTCAGGTCAAGTTGTATTCAATTTTAACGTTTGCCAAATTGTTAAGTGTCGTAATTGTTAATTGTTAAGCGTAGAAAAAGTCCTCGAACTTATAAATAGGGACAGAAATAGCTGAGATATCGAGATATCAATTTCACGTGCAGGTATAAAATAGTTCATTTTCAGCTACGTATACCGCATGTACTATATGGTTTGGTGACTCACATTTTTGCCGGTAGATGGCAGGTGACTTCAGTTCAACGCTCAGCTTCAGCCAAGGTTTACTGAATGGGAAGCTTGTTTGGTAACCAGTAACAACGAAAGTGTCGTAGTGGAAACGAATGAATAGCGGACTATTTTTTGCTATGCACCGAGCATGCTTTAACGTAGTTGTCAAAAAACCGTCAAATTTTGAACGATTAGGTTAAAATGTATGATAAAAACTAGTAGTGAAAGGACTCCAATTAATGAGATATTAAAAGCAATTTTTTATTCATCGTTACATTGTTAGCTGAAATTTCGATTAAAATGAATCTCTGCTTGCATTTCACGTTGTTTAGTTCTCTAGTTATCCAATTAAAGATTGATAAAGCGTTGAAGATTTCAATTTTATAGGAAATACGTGAAAAATGATTTGTATATATTTATACTAAATTAACTTTCTGATAACTTATTCAACTTAAATGTAACTATTAGAGTATATAATTTGTATGGAACCGGTACTTCTATAAATTTATTATGCAAAACAACTCAGGAGTTAGCGAGAATCGAATACAGTGCTCGTGTTTCCATAATTCTTTACAGATGGCAGCACCAGATGCGCCCTGTAGGGTTCGTGGTGGAATTAAATACGCCAGGTTCCCTACTATGCGTGTGCACACTTCGAGGTTCCGAGGTGGAGAGCCACGAGGAGGAAAAATGTACTCCTCGTGACGGCGGCCAGAAAGCCGCCGCGCCTGCGCTATGCGCAGGCGGACGGAGTGGGGGAACCACGTCCCCACAGCCCATGTGGCGGCTGGCCATAGACTACTGGCCACATAGATGTGCATACCGTCCCGGCGCATGCGCGTCTTGCACAGCACCGTCCGTACACGCGATTTTCTTTTTGCTTCCTTCCTTCTTGATCCTCGAGTCGTCGACACGCGGGGACGTAAGTACACCCTCAAGGAGATGACGTAAGAGACGTAAGAGACACCCTAAAGACGGCGCGTCATCCCGTTTGAAGGTGTTTTAGAAATAAATAAACTCCATTATTATTTATTAACTCTTTCGGTACGAGCGCGGGATATATCCGGCATCTATCTAGTCACCTGTGTGGCTGAGCGCCGGATATATGCGGCATCCATCTAGTCACCTGTGTGGCCGAGCGCCGGATATATGCGGCATCCATCTGATGACCAATATGCACGAGTGCCGAATATATCTGGCATCCATTTAAACCATATTTCTGTAGGCCCTTTACAGAATGTTTACAGGAAACATTTAAAGAAAGATTTAGAAACGGATTAAGCACAGTCATTACGTAACGCTTAAGAAAATCTTCGTACAAAAGTGGACTGATCCTGCGTTATGTGCGCATTTTCGGCGCGGCACCCCGTACAGTGGAAGTGTCACGGCGGATAACGCGCTCGTACCGAAAGGGTTAATTCACGCAATTGTTCTTGGAAGCTGCCCTTCACACATCTTATAATTTAACCGGATCCGTAAGAAACGGACCCGAGGCTAGTGGTAGCACGTGTTACAAGTGAACCACGTGCCTCGCGCCCACACCCATTTAGCCGTTACGCTCTTCAATAAGCACGGGTCATGAGCAAAAACGATAAAATTTTACAAACCACTTCATTGTATAACAATTATTCTTCCTTTTTTTTGGTACAACGTACGTAGCGTGGTTCGTCGTTAATAAAATTATATATTACTCTAACGGAAGCATTGAGAATTATATCCCGAACCTTCCGATCGGTAAGGTAGGATGGCAAATGTTACCATACTCATGAGTCTAGCTATTTCAGTGAGGATAGAGTGTATTGTACACATTCACAAATGAGGTATAGAGACAGAAGGTCCAATTAAAATAACTCAACAGTTTAGATACACTGGCACAGACGAGGTATACTTCGCCTCTGCGTTAGGAATTCATACATGCTAGTAAAAATCGAGTATAGCGTATATTTTCACAAACGAGGTATACAGGCACGAGGTAACAGAAGACGCAAACAAGGTATAGAAGGTAGACTTAGCACCCAATGTTTTTGTACGATAAAAATGGTGCGCTGGATTCCCATTTGAAAGAGTTGTGTACACTCTACGGGAAATTACCATTTGTTACGAATGATGGACGAGACCCGTTGGATCGTCTACATACAAGTTTCGATTCAAACTCTTGTCAGCTCCCCTCTGCAAGTGCACAGGACCAGCTTCCATTAATTGCTTTCTGATTCTCTGGAAAACCATTGAAATTGGTAAAATTGTTACGATATCGAACGGCACCGCGAAATACCAGAAACTGAACTCACCTTTTCACGGCGATCAATTTTGGCGAAGTAGATCACCAGGATCAGAACGACCACTGCTAACACGACAATTAAAATGATCAGACCTACAGGACTCCTCATACTTGCAATTCCGAAACCTGTTGGTTGAAAAAAGTATAAAGTGAGAAATCTTATTCCTGCGCCCCTGCAGAGTGCTCGATTTAACAAATTACCTCTTATCGTTATTTGTTGAAAAACTTCCACTTTACCAATTCGATTCTCTGCTCGGCACATGTACTCGCCGCTGTCCACTTCCAATGGATATTCCAGTTCAAGTTTTTGAGAGTTATTCGAAAACTTGTATAGTGCGTTACTAACTACCAGCTCTATACCGTCCTGCCAAAAGTATGTCGATTTTCAATAACTTGCATGAAAATGAATGTTTGAATATAGTAAATTGGTAAAATGGTAAAATGGTAAAATGGTAAAACGTTAAAATGATAAAATAATAAAATAGTAACATAATAAAATAATCAAATAGTAAAATAGTAACATAATAAAATAATCAAATAGTAAGATAGTAAAATAGTAAAATAGTAAAATAATAAAATAATAAAATAGTAAAATAGTAAAATAGTAAAATAACAAAATAAACAAATAATAAAATAATAAATTAGTAAAATAGTGAATAAAATATAAACAGTAAAATATTTCCCTGATTTAGAAATATAATATTAACTCCTAATCAATTACCTTAAACCAACTGATGCTCGGTTTAGGCACACCATCCGCAAAACAGTGAAAATCTATCATCTTACGACCTGGTGTGGTAACATCAATGATCATCTCGTTTTTTAACAAATTGGTATCGATAATAATGGGCGCTCGTGCAGCTAAAACGAAAGTAATATCATTCAACGATACATCATTCAAACCTTATAGGAATTTGCATTTCCAATTACCCTTCACTTCCAAACGATATCCTGCAGTCCGAATCCAATTACCCCTGGACTTTCCTGTACAAATATATTCCTGCGAGTCCTCTATTTTTACCTTCCGTATTTTCAAAATTGACCTATACGTGGATTGCGTCCTCCCTCGACTGATAGAGATTTTGTCTAAAAATTCGAACATGTTACAATAAATTCTCTCTAATTGAAATCCGAAATCCGAAATTGAAAGTGGACATTACGAGAAACTCAAGCATGATTCATCGAGCGTCGCGGCTCGCCTTTATAGTTGCCGACATTTCGTTAGAGAAAAAGAGAGGGAACAAAAATCAGAGCAGTCGGCATTAATATATACATAATTATGTATAATAAATATAATATAATATAATATAATAATATCAATGCAGCTTTTTGATGCATACATAATCGTTATAATACTTGTGGTGAACAGATTACTTTAGTATATTAGAAATAATATAGTTATTTATATGTATTATATATATACATATAATATAATATATATATTCTTATATATTCACAACAATAACGTAATAAAATGAATTACACGATAAGTATTAAATAAATAAATCTAATCGAAATTATATCGTGTTTGATTTTATTTTAATCAGAAATATTTGTCCAAGCTATATCATGTTTGGGCTCATTTTAGTCAGAAAACTATCAGCAATATATTAAAAAGAAATTCAGTTTTAAAATGTTTAAATTTAAAGAGTTATATTATTGTGTTATGAGTTGACTTCTGGATCAACTTCTGAGTTGACTTCTCCGTTGAACCTTAGCATCACAACGTAGCAATGAATCACATAGGCGTAGAAATAGCGCAGGGACATTCCCAGCATATCCGTAACATAGACTACTAGGGAGAATTTACTGTATTTTCGGTTCGTTCAATTTCTCGTCGAATTTCATTGGTCTTTAAAATTAATCGCAGAGAAAACAATTTTTTGACGCGATCTTGATGTGAATATTGGAAATCGAATTACCGGATTGTACAATTGGACCACTTTCGTTGCTCCAATCGAAGACGTCCAAATAATATTGAACAGAAGCAGCGCAGGTAAGCTCCCAGTCGTCACCCTCTGCCGCGGAGTCCTTCGTGAGCATGACACCGAAATCCCATTTGTCTGAAATATTTTCAAACATAAATTTTCCGATAGCCTAGTTAATGAGCATTCAACCAGACATATTGCAACAACGTTAACAATTTAAATAAAAATTTCAAAAGCAATCATGGTCCCGTTCATACCGAAAAAAGTCACATATTCGGTGACATTTCTGCAGCCAACAACATTGCACGCGCTGCAGGTAAGCCCACCGAACATGTCAAGGGTCGCTGATACTGTAGAGAGCAGATGAGTCACGGTCCCGCTTTCCCGGGAGTTCTGCATGAATATCACTTGATTTAATTAAACCACCGAACCGGTGAGAATGATCGATGTTTGAATCAATATTTTCATTCAAACAGACATTACAGGGTGTCCCATAATTATGTTAACACTCAGAAAGGAGTGATTCCTGAGGTCATTTGAAGTAACTTTTTCCTTAGCGAAAATGCAATCCGAGGTTTCACTTACGAGTTATTAACGAAAAACAGTGACCAATAAGAGGCGAGATCAGGTGGCGCGAGGCGGCCGGGCCAATGAGCTGCACTGCGCTTCGCCCGCTCGTTGGCTCGGGTCCTGCGCGTAGCCGAGCTCGCCTCTCATTGGTCAGTGTTATTCGTTAATAACTCAATAACGATGCCTCGGAGAAAATTTTTGTAAAGGAAGAAGTTTCTTCAAATGATCTGAGGAATCACCCATTTCCGGATTGTGAGACATTTTTGGCACACCCTGTACAATCGGTCATGTGTTCGTGTTCGGTAGGTTGGTTATTGCTTACGCTTAAATACTCGAGGGTACCATTGTCGCAAGAAGGATAATTTGGGCACTTTTGGTAACTCCAAACAATATTCGGCTTCGGGAATGCTTTCACATGGCATTCTACATTCGTAACCTGATTATGGAAATAATTCGAGATCGGTTTGCTCATGTACACTTTTGGCCAAGCTAAAAGACACATTTTCAATTAAACTGGGCAATCACGGAATCGACACAGTCGCTCCGATAAATATTTGTCATATTTCGTTTTTAAAGTAATGAAAATAGGATACCTATTACGTCCAACGTAAAGTTCAATGTTTCCTTTTTATATTGATTGCTGACCTCGATGGAATACGTTCCCATGTCATTTAAATTCAAACGGTTGATTCTCAATTTCGACTTGCAGCATGCATTGTCGATTAAAAATCTGGATTTCCCGTGTGGCAACAGGCTTTTCGTGACTTCGTCGATGTTCGTATGAAACCTACGATATGAAACTTTGTTTGCAAATCTTTGTGCAAAGCGATCGTCTTCAGCTTCGATTGGAAAAATCAGGGACTGCAGAGAAACGATATAATCGAGTTCTTAAAATTTTCAGTTCCGCCTACACGTTTCAAAGAAGAACTGTCGAGTGTTGGATGTTCAAACATGTGGTGTTATTAAATGTCTTTGTATGTAACGTAAATTGCGGCTAAACTTTTCCTTGCAAGTTTCTATTTTTTTTACTTTCCAGTGTACATTCCAATGGATTTTGTCGGGGAAAGTCTAAAAATCGAAATCCTGAATCTAAGAATGTTATTGAAATAAGTCCTGAATTCATTTGTGTGTGTGTGTGTGTGTGTGTGTGTGTGTGTGTGTGTGTGTGTGTGTGTGTGTGTGTGTGTGTGTGTGTTCAAAGATTACTTTCATAAACAAAATCGATCGCAGTATTTTCAAAATGTATATATATGAGTATTCAGAATTACAATTTTAATTATTTTAGAATTATAATTTGAATTTATTTATTATTTTACACACAAATTATATAATATTAATTTATTAATTATTTTAGAGAATTATATAATATTAATTTATTAATTATTTTAGAGAATTATATAATATTAATTTATTAATTATTTTAGAATTATAATTTGAATTTATTAATTATTTTATATAGAATTATAATTTGAATTTATTAATTATTTTGGAATTATATAACTTTAATTTATCAGTTATTTTAGAATTATCATTTTAATTTATTAATTATTTTATAAAATCATACTTTTAATTTATTAATTATTTTAGGATTAAAGTAACCACTGCTACGTACCAGTACTGTCATCTAGTTATTCTACGTTACGCGTGCTGCCATCTAGCGGCGCCACTCATTAAACTACGTCTGTGGACCGAGTACGCTTCAACTTCGGACGCGCATAACTTTTTAACAAATAAACTCAGGACATATTTTAATTACATTCCTAGATTCAGAGGACTTCGTTTTTTGGTCTTATCTCGACGAAATCCATTGGAATGAACACTGTAAAGTCAAAAAAATAGAAACCCCCAAGGAAAAGTTTAACTTAAATGGTTATTTTCGCTCTCGCAGAGTGCTCCGAAAATCAAATGTGATGTTATTTAAAGAAATTCGACATACCATTTCAGTTCAGGCAAAGGATACGCCTTTACGTCGACAATCCACTCCACTTCATCACCCTCATGACGTGTATAATATCTGTTAGAATCTCGAGCTTTCAGGTTCATGAATGGATAGAACGACTCTAAACATTCGATGAGCAAAAATTGTGGACATTAATGCTTGCCTTATGCACGAGGCATACAATACTATTACGTCATTATATACAGGGTATCCCACACCACTCGTCCACCTATGCCACCGTCCACCCCAAGGGAATGATTTTTATTAAAAGCTACAAAAATTTTTTGGTAACTAATATTCGAGTACACACTACCACATTATGATAGTTGCATTTTGCAGTACTGTCTGAAATAAGATTTTCAGATCGGACATAGTTTTTTTAATGGAACCTTGTATTTTTTATTTTTTATTACCCTATACAGCCATTGCAGGAAATTGCAACTACCACTCTCCGAATTGTGAACAAAAGTTTTTTTAGTTTTCATTAAAAATCAGTACCCACACACCATTTTAATAGGGGTGGTCGGGTGGTATGGAACACTCTATATATGCTGTTTGAAGCTCTAAATATTGTTACTTAGATTTACGTTAATATTATTATGGTATACAGAATTACCCAAAATTATGTTACTTCTGGGAAATTGGGGGTTCCTGAGGTCATTTGAAGTAACTTTTTCCTTTACAAAAATTTTCTCTGAGGCACCGTTAACAAGTTATTAACGAAAAACACGGACCAATGAGGGGCGTGCTCAGTTAGTGCGCGGCGGCTGAGCCAACGAGCAGTCGAAGTCCTGCTCTGCTCATTGGCTCGGTCGCCTCGCGTCAGCTGATCTCGCTTCTCATTGGTCCGTGTTTTTCGTTAATAACTCGTTAACGATGCCTCGGAGAACATTTTTGTAAAGGAAAAAGTTGCTTCAAATGAACTCAGGAACCCCTAATTTCTCGGAACTATCATCATTTTGGGATGGCCTCTACATTGTAGTTACTATCGTACATACCATGCACCTGGACATATGTCCGCGAATTTTTCTCATATATCCCCTCCTTCACCCTGCACTCGTAAATACCTTCGTCGTTGTAGGTCACGTTTGTGACCTTCAATAAGGCCAATCTCTCAACGATTGTATTTTCTATAGGCCGAACGTCGCTCCAGGTAGTCACTCTGTCGCTCTGAAACATCAAATTTTTGTGACGAATTCAACTCGGCCTGATGTGAGTGATGCGAATGAAACTTGTATGTGAAGATCGATACTTGTTGCGTTGGAATCCAAAAAACGCGGTAATCTTCGTTCTTCGGAATAATTATGGCACACTTCAGGTATAGAGACTCGCCTTTGCTTAGGAACAGCAAACCACTGCTATTGATAATTCTTGGTTCGGGAATTTTATTCTCCAATAAATCTAAAAAATCGTAGGTTATTAAAAGTGACAAACCAACGTTTTTATTTATCGTGAGAACAAATCTACTTCTTTTATCAACGACTTTCATTAATAAATCAGTTTCTTTTATTTCAATTTCTTTCTTAAATTAATTTAAATTGATCTCGTAATTATACTGAGATAAAAATAACAAATGCATTGTAAAATAGTAAAAGTGCGTCTTCCGCATGGAAATCTTGTGACGAATGTTTCCTGAAGATAGACTGCGATATGAACATCGTTCAACGAATGTACTCACCCGTTACAACCACTTTATAAGAGACCTCTTGATCAGGATCAATGGTGCATACGTACAACCCACCTTGAGGCTTGTCGACTTTGTACAGTGTAAATCCAAATGTTGCATCGAAAGTATGTGGTGGGACTACCTCGTCGTTGCCATTCTGCACAATGTATTTTATTAAATGACTTCTCGCACATATCATCAATCGTGAAGCCTACGCAACTGTACCAGAACAAACAACCATTTATCTTTGTTCATGACTAGATCAGATCAATGCCAATCTTATTCTTGACACGAAAGTGGCTTTGGTTTGTTTTCGGACGTAATTAATTTTGTATTTATCGAATAAGATATGCAACATTTCTTTATTCAAAAATGTACAAAATAAAAGAATAAAAATATTGAAATTATCTTAATCGATAAATATACAGACTGTCCCATAATTATGTTAACACCCGGAAAGGGATGATCCCTGAAATCATTTGAAGTAATTTTCTCCTTTACGAAAATTTTCTCCGCGGCTTCGTTTACGAGTTATTAACGAAAAACGCTGACCAATGAGAGGCGAGCTCGGTTGGCGCGCGGCGGCCGAGCCAATGGCGGGCGAAGTCCAGTTCCGCTCATTGGCTCGGTCGCCTCGCGCCACGGCCGATCTCGCCTCTCATTGGTCACTGTTTTTCGTTAATAACTCGCAAACGAAGACGCGGCTTGCATTTTCGCTAAGGAAAAAGTTGCTTCAAATTACCTCAAGAATCATATCTTTCCAGGTGTTAACATAATCATGAGACACCCTGTAGAGCTAATTATGCGTATTCAAGTTTTCATGAAATCTTCCGCAATTTCGTAATGTCTGCCAATTGTATATTACTTTTTTCACTTAATCCGATGGAAACGTTTTGCAGCTTCAACGTTACATCGCTTCGCGAAGTTCATGCTAGAAAATTTGTTAAGCAAACACCTACTTCGTCGTGCTTTCTAAGCTTGACTTCCGCTTTCGGCGACGTTGGTCTACACGGTATGACAATGTTTTCGCCTACGGTTGCCACTAAAATATGTGACTTTGCTTGTTCCACGAACCGAACTGTTCTAGCTGAAACATAATTAATAATCATTTTCGACGTTCCCCGCAGATTTAGTCCACTGAACTGCAGTCGCCCTAGTTAGTACAGTAATTTCTCCGGGATTAGCCGAACTTCAGTATTCTCTACGGTCCTGTAATTTACCGATTTTCTCGCTAGGCCGATACTAGCTGCGTCGCGGCCCTTTGACTCGAATTCCCGGGAGACAACTCACAATACAATGACATAACTTTTATTTAATTTTAACATTTTAAAACTGATTTCTTTTTTTAACATATTGCTGATAGTTTTCTGATTAAAATGAGACCACCAAACATGATATAGTTTGGACAAATATTTCTGATTGAAATAAAATCAGAAAACGATATAATTTCTCTTATAATTATTTACTTAATACGGTCGAGAGAGAGAGAGAGAGAGAGAGAGAGAGACTTCAGTCCTCACAGGAAAACGTGGTTTCGGTTTCAACCCTTAAATTTCGAGAACCTCGTGTCTAAACAGTGTCGTTCTTCCTCGACGATCGATCTCATAAAATTCCAGGGTTGATGGAAGAAGTACAAAAAACTATTCCTTCAAACTCTCCGTCAAATGTGTAGGCTCGTCATCGGACTATCGTCGAATCGAGCCATGTCCCTTCCTACCGACGCCTAATCGATCCATGTATTTTCCTACTGACATTTAACTGAAACATGTCTTCTTCTACTGTCGTCGAACGTAGGCTCGAATAGCATAACTTCACTGGTATTTTCTTTCGAACGACATACATGCCTTCTTCGACGCTGCCTTTAATATTTCATACATTAAGAATCGGTTTTTCCAACGCTTTTTTCACAAATAAAATAAGTTACTTGCTACGTATAATGAATAAGTATGATCTAAAGCATGTCGTGTTTGGTATCATTTTAATTGGAAAAATCTGAGCAATATGTTAAAAAAACTTTCATGTATAAAGACTTAGAAATGAAGAAATTAAACCACCGTTTTCATTCTAGCATTGCAATGTATTCATAGTAATTTAAATCGGTTTCGTTCTCTCTCTCTCTCTCTCTCTCTCTCTCTCTCTCTCTCTCTCTCTCTCACGAGGTGTCAGCAACTACAAAGGCGAGCCGCAAGACTCGAAGAATCATGCCTTAGTATTCTCAAATCTGCACGTTTCGATACCGGCTCAAAACATTTCTGGGAGAAATTACTGTACTTTGAGGCGTCTCCGTAGTTCGACACTGAGATTTGGTGCAATTTTCGCGCAAAGCTTTGCAATTTAACCCTTTGCACTCGAGTAGCGACTCCGAGATGCCATTAAAAATTGTTATGCCATATCATTATCTATGATAATGATTAAAAATTGTTATTATATCATTATCGTTATTATTAATAATAACATTAATTAACATATATCATTACCGTTATTATATAAAAATTGTTATTATATCATTATCAATCAAATTTGTTTATATTTTAAGAGCTGTGTTGAAAGCGTAAGCTGTTGCAATATTCAATTTCAGATGAATCAAATGCAGATTTTATATGACCATTTAATTCATATAAAATGGAAAAACCGTGGGTCGGAGAAACCATTTAAAATTTTTCCTTAATCCGGCTTCGTGTGCAAAGGGTTGATAGAAATCTGAAGTACACTTACCCTCGACATAGAGATAAAACCATTCGATCGTAGTGTCGGATAAATTACGTTCGGTGGTCAGAATGGGATGATATGTGCAACCGTACCAGCCAGTGTCCCCAAACACCGAATTCGATCGATAAAACTTGTACCGGTAGGTGCCGTTTTCATATTGGTTTTTGCTTATCTCGATGGGCGATGTGTAAGAAAAGACTGTGTCAGACTGTTATTTAAGCATATGTTACAAATCGCTTTCAATTATTTTGTATGAACAACATGATCTAATGGTTTTATTACTTACAGCATGTGTTCGGTTAGTGGGATAAGTGAAAAAAATGTCCGCGTTGGCAGTGCATTCGAACGGAAAATCACTGCCTTCTTTAATACTGTAAATGTTACTTGTCGCTGTTGAGTCTGGAAGGAAGAGAAAGAATCTTATTCGGTCAACGACAAAACGTGATCAATCGTCACAATGCGTCTAGTAAATGAAATACATAAAAAAGATTCGACTGTGTCGATGATTGTTTATGCACACGTACGCTTAGTTTAATCGAACCCTATAAGATCGAAGCGAACATTACGTTTGAACAGTTATCAACGAAGGTAGTAAGTTTAAATATTATCCTAACAATATCATTATACCGTGGCTAATCGGTACAGTAATGTCTCCCTAATCGACGCTCAGATTGTGCACAAAAATGGACAATTTCAGAAGAGGAGATACGATTATTCGAGTCTTGCAGCTCGTTTTTATAATTGTTGACAATCGATAACTATAAAAACGAACTGCAACGAACATTGAATGCAAGGTCTAGATCAGGTCTCAGTTATATCTTAGTTACATCTTGATTAGTTCTAGATTAGATCTGGCTTAAGTTTCTGTAAAAACGCACGAGAAGAAATTTTGTTCTAATTCCCAAAAACGATAGACATTGAATGTTAAGTCTGAATTAGATCTTAGTTAGGTTTTAGTTAGGTCTTGGTTAGATTTCGAGTAGTTCTAAATTAGATCTGGCTTAAGTTTCTATAAAAATAAACGAGAAGAAATTTTGTTCTAATTCCGAAAACTAGGTCTGGATTAGATCTTAGTTAGGTTTTAGTTAGGTCTTGGTTAGATTTTGATTAGTTCTAGATTAGATCTGGCTTATGTTTCTATAAACACAAACGAGAAGAAATTTTGTTCTAATTCCCAAAACCGATAGACATTCAATGCTACGTCTGGATTAGATTTTAGTTAGGTTTTAGTTCTAGATTAGATGCAAAGCTCGAATAATCGTATCTCCTCTTCCCAAATTGTACGTTTTTGTGCACAATCTGTGCGTCAATTAGGGAGACTTTACTATATTTAGCTTTGCGTAGCTTATAACGCAGCCAAAAAATAAATATTTACAACCAACGGACATAAACGACGTATCATTGTAACGTGTTAACCACGTAAGGATGCGAGTGATGACACAAAATACCGGACATCCCGCGTCCGGGAAATGTCCTTAAGTATCTTTATAAATCTCTGCGAATGATTCGCATTTAATAGAAATGTAATAATTTCTATTAATTCGCGCTCAAGATTGCGTACAAAAATGGACAATTTGGGAAGAGGAGATACGATTATTTGAGCCTTGTGACTCGTTTTTATAGTTACCGATTGTCAACAATTATTAAAACGAACGAATGCGAGACTCTAATAATCGTATTCACTGTACAGTAACAGAATCGCAGATCCGTAGATCCGAGAACCGGATCTACTATTACAGAATCTCAACAGAAATGGTGACTATAGGGTGTCTTAAAAATGTCTTGCAATCCGGAAATGAGGGCTTCCTGAGGTCATTTGAAGTAACTTTTTCCTAAGCAGAAATGCAATCCGCGGCTTCGTTTACGAGTTATTAACGAAAAACACTGACCAGTGAGAGGCGAGATCACGTGGCGCGAGGCGGCCGAGCCAATGAGCGGAACTGGGCTTCGCCCGCTCGTTGGCTCGGCCGCCGCGCGCCAGCCCAGCTCGCCTCTCATTGGTCAGTGCTTTTCATTAATAACTCGTTAACGGTGCCTCGGAGAAAATTTTTGTAAAGGGAAAAGTTTCTTCAAATGACCTTAGGTATCACCCCTTTCCGGGTTGCGAGACATTTTTGGGACAATTGCTTGGTGGACCACAGTTGCATGGGTAACAGATAAAGCCGCAATTACCTCGGCACAAGTGTGACAGAAGAGCGACAACAAAAAGGAACCGTCGGTGCCGGCACACCATTTTTTCGTGATTCTCTACTCGATGTTTCTTTTTTTTTCTATCTATCGCCGAGCTTGAACACTTTATACGTTTAACGAAGCACCACGGAACGATATCACACGGGCCCGCTTCTAGAAGCGCGTCACTCAACGGCAAGGATTACGGCAGTACTGCGTTGTCCTAGCCGAACGAACGAATTATGGTAGCATTTCTAGGATCCGATCACGCGCCGGAAATCCTCTGACCACGGCTTATCAACTACGACGTCATCTTAATCACCGCTCGTCGTTATTTCGCACTCCAGTCGAAGCTGACCGCAACTACTGTTGTCAGTGCGATTCACTAATGCTTGACGCACGGTGGCATTTTCCCTTAAAAGTTGGTCTCAATTCGTAACTTCGTCGGATTTTTATAAAAGTCGGCACTCTCATGGTTTTCAGGTTGCTGATCTTGTATAGGTTTATAAAGAAACGCGAAATTCAAAATAGAAAATCAGACCCTATATTTGACTATGATTATGCAGGGTGTCCCAAAATTATGTTACTTCTGGGAAATTAGGGGTTCCTGAGGTCATTTGAAGCAACTTTTTCCTCTGCAAAAATTTTCTCCGAAGCATCGTTAACGAGTTATTAACGAAAAACACGGCGGCCGAGCGAACGAGCGATCGAAGTCCTGTTCTGCTCATTGGCTCGGTCGTCTCGCGCCAGCTGATCTCACTTTTCATTGGTCAGTGTTTGTCCTTAATAACTCATAAACAAAGCCGCGAATTGCATTTTCACGAAGAAAAAAGTTTCTTCGAATGAACTCCGATGAAAATGAGCTTTCTGATTACAGTAGAAACATGAGACTATCTAATACAAATAATTTTAATTGACAACAATTGTTACTACTTATTTTGCAAGTGCGTTCAACAAATGCAATGTTTTGGATACTTCCAACTGTATATTTATATTATTTCTTTTTGTTTTATAATGTATAATGTATTAAATGTAATAACATTTGTCTTATATTTTTTCTATTCTTCCACCTCCTCCTTCTTTTCTCCGAACTTCCACCTCAGCCACCTGTCGTTACTCCTTTCCCGTCTCTCATTCCGTTCTTCTGTAACGTCAGCTCCTGTTTCAGTTCCTGGGGCTATAACATGAAAAACGAACATTATTATAAAACAGAGAATTTTTTTGTTTTTCTCCCCATGCAATGTATCGCAATATTATTGGCTATTTAATATGATTTATTCATTCTTTCAGATTTTTAAAATTTGATATATTAGAACAATTTACTTTTCTGATCATAACTGTGCGAGTATGATAGATATCAACAAGTTTCAAGCACTGTCTCAAAAACCGACTCATTTCCACAAAACAGAGCTCGTCAATTGGTGATATCTTTCATGGTTATATGTAAGTACCTTTTGAACGTAAGTTAATTGTTTCTCCGACCATAGCGATCATGATGGCGATCGCGATCGTCGTCGTCCATGACCATAATATTTCAGTCCGCGTCGCTACATCTGGCATCTGAAAACAATTAGAAAAATTATGATAGTATCCTATTCACCATTGTTTTGTACAATGTTATTTTATTTAGTTGCACTATTACACACATATGTCATAATCTTCGCTAAGCGTATATTCTTATATACCTTGAAATATGTTTATTAAACAAAATATTTTGATTGACTGCATTTTTATATTTTAAATTGGGTTTTGTATAGTTTGTTTTACTTTAACACAACTTTCCTACTTTTCTCTAAATCTGTTTCTACACAGTATATTCTGCATACATGGTTTCTTCTTTTACATAAGTTGTTTATACCCAGTTTCCTCATTTTACGCAATACATATCCACCATGTAAAAAGACACAGCTGTGTTTTTCACTAAACACTTACCTTAAGCTGAATACAAATTTACAAACCGTTCTCTTTAGAACCCAACAAAATTTTCGACATCTTTCATTTTCTTAAAAATTTTTGATTCTAAGTATGGGTTACATATAATCAGACACACATTAATTTCTTATTATACGTACCAAAAGTACCATCGTCTGTAATCATCTCATTATTTTTCAATTTATTCACTATTGCTTGCAAAGATTTAACTCTTCGTTCAAGCCTTCTATTTTTTTGCATTAAAATTTTTATTCTTTTGTTTTTCTTAGCAATTGTCGCGTTAACAATGGCTGTATATTTATATTTATCACTTGATATATCAAAATTTTGGAAATCTCCCACGTATGCCCTCCGCTTCCTTATTGGCGATGTCTTCGACAGTATATTTTCAGTTTCTAAGCTAAAGAAAAATAATGAAGGTATGTTACAGATTTAAGAGATTATAAACTATGTTCAATTATATTGACTATGAAAATAAACCTTAAAGTTTCATTTTTCGGTACAATTATTGAAACACTGTCTACTACTTGTATGTCCTCTGTTTTGAATACAACATTTGGTACAGCATTATGTTCAGAATTTGTTTCAGCATTTGACGCAACATTTGGTATAGCATCACTTTTCAGTACTCGCCGTGAACTCCAAGCAGATTGGATAAAGCAATCATCGGTGAAGTGTTTTGAACAGACACGTGCGCAAGATGAAGGTTCTACTTTTATTTTTTGGACCCATTGCTTCCTCAAGTCTGGATTTGTTGGCAGTCTATAATTAATGCAAAGCAAGGGACAATGAGTAATATAAAATAATATCATATCATAACATAATATCAAATATGAATAGTAATCAAATACTTACTGATGAAAAGATACGTTCGTAGCACTGCTGTACTTCTCCTTACAATTTTTGACACAGCACGTTCGCCCCATTTCTAATAATTTATAATCAAAATCCTCACGAAGTAAAGCAAGTTGCTTGTACCAAAACGTTATGCATGATATATCATGGCATTATGCGTCATGGCGCGGCGGGCGCGCGAGACTGGCGGCTGACATCGCGCGTGAAACGGCATCCTACAGCCGCGGTACCGCGCGCATTTAAATTCGCAATGAAATTGAAACCCGTAAGATTGTAATTTTCTTACGATGTAGCTGTAGATTATCACGACTAAATTGGAAGGTCAATTCGAGTAGGGAAAATAATAGAAAGGAGTGCTAGCTGCAAGCAATAAAGGAGCAGAAACACTTCAAATGGAACCAGGATTGACAGACCAGTTCCACAATTGTGCAATTGACAACTCGCATAGACTTATTAGTCTTTCTGTTGTTCCCACTGTAACAGCCATTTATTTAATTGAATCACCGAACATTCACTAATTAGGTGACGTTTTACCAAACCAGTCAAAATGACTGGCCTCTGATGTTTTCTTTCACAGTTTCTGATATTATAGAAAAGTTTTCGTGAGAAATTTTTAAATAAACTTCTCTCTTCATTCATGCGTACATTGTAATAGAAATCTTGCAAAGTTTAAGTTAACATTCTCATTGTTATGAGAAAATATATATTAGTTGCGATTAGGGCTCGGTAATTCTAGTGTTGAATACAGTGGATCAAGATGAGCCGGTAAGTCCGAGAGTTAGTCGAACAGCGAAAAAAGCGGTCCAGCTTCACGTCTTTCCTCAAGGACCTCCGTGTCATTAGGCGTCCAAACAAAAGTCCTTTAGCAAAGTAAGAGCAGCGACAGTCAAGTGCTATTGCGAGCTGAAAAGAATGACCTCTACCAACAAATAGAATAACGTGAGAGGCAAAGGGAATCGGTCGCCGGTTTCACCTGATCCCTTTGACATTTTCAGATTCTGTGTCATTATTGGGTAAGTAAAGAACGCGAAGGATAAAGAGAATCGGTCACCCGCTCCACCTGATTGCGTCTTCTGTTCAGCGTCCCGTTGCCTTTGCTCCATTGGATTCTTGGATGTCCTGTACACATAGGTACCGTACCATGACGTAAGAAGGAAAGGTGGACCGAGTACATTCGCCCCATCATAACATTGCTGCGACGCTAAAAGTAAATTTCCATAGTTCCGTGAGTTTCCGCGAGAGGTGCTAGTGAAACATCGTCGTTCGTTCAGTAATGTCGTTTACTTTTACCGATACATACTTATTTGTTTCTCACTTGTTTCTCACGTGTTTCTCACTTATATTTCAAATGTTTTAATACTATATGTAAACATGATGAAACGATGTAATGCCTTAGGATACTATAATAAACAATCAGGCCCGAGAAAGCTCATTTTTTTAAGGCGCCGAAGTCTCCAGAGGACCGCGACAAATGGTCACAACATTTAGGTTGAGCGGTCACAACACAATCGTACATTTGTGAAGAACATTTTCACCAAAAAATAGGTAAAACGTGCAGAGATAGGGCGCGATGTTGCCGGCAATGTTATATATAGCGTGTTTATGCATTACCAACACCGCGTGTTAGAGTACACGATAGTTTGCGATTTTAAATAGAGGTCACAATATGTGTCCGAGAAACTACAAATATTTGGGTTTTTTATCCTAATATCTTTAATTTCGATGATGCTTCAGCATGAATTCAGAAAGAAACTTTTATTAAAAGGAGCCTTACCATTGAAGCACAGTGGTAAACTAACTAATGAATAACCTGCCAGATCTTCTGGCAGAAGTGTTATTAAGTGGCAAAGTGTTATTCTGTACAAATTATATTTATAAAAAATATTGTGATGAACAAATGTAATAGTAATATTTAATATACATTTAATTTAATATATATATATATATATATATATTTTTTAGCCATTTATTTAATTTATGTCCTCCTTATTACAGAAATCCTTAACCATTTTATCCGTCGAACTGACTTTATATTATATTTAAGTACATACTACTATGGTGCCGCTATTACTTAGACCATATATATATATATATATGTATGTATGGTCCAAGCGCTGTTATATTCTTAGGGCATGACTAAAATATGTATATGGACGTTTTCTACGGCGGTTTGTACGCGGCGCTGGTTTAATAAAAAAAAGTCCGTGATACAGACATTCTTAGAGACATTAATTACCTTTCATCTTTACGCAAAGCTTCCTAAAACGATTTTCTTCCTTGCTAATTCAGTAAAACACTAACCGCCTGTGTACTCGATAGTCCACTCGTGCAAGTGGGGAAACTCGACCAGCCTTTGAGACACAGAAACAATTCGGGTCAAAATAAACCCAGGTCATTTTAACATAATATGCATATGTTAAAATTCAATTTTCTTTTTTTAATTAGATCTCAATGTCACGGTGTTAAACAACTGTGACCAAGGTTTGCAGACGCAAGGACTTGCAGAACTTGTTCTTCCTTGTCTGACGCGAAGGAAGAAGAAAAGGACTAAAAGTGAGGATCGGCGTAGCCATGAAAAAGCGAGGTCTCTTCCACTACTACGAACTACATTCGTCCTCCTTCGCGTTGGAAAAGTGGGGGGAAGTTCTGCAAAAGTTCTTGCGCCCGCGAGCCCTGAAATATAAATAACTGTTCACCGTTGTGAATTAATGAGAATTTCTCCAGTTTCTGAACGTGTCTCTCTCTATTATTCTAGCTTGCTTGTAATAATGTTTTGTTAGAGGCATCGTAAGATAATTATATTAACAGAAGAAATCATTTAAAATCGAATCGCGGACAGCGGAGAATCACAGTATGAATCAGTACAAGTACTCCAACTTCCTCTAATTCTCGAGCGAAGCCATTCATTTACAATTTAGTCTGGCGGCATTCTTTTTGTTTTTCCACATCGTTTCAGGGTAGTGTCTAAATCGACCGTCGTCTGTGAGAAGAGGCCGCTGAAATCAGTCGCGAAAATTCGGTCGGTAGGGAAGCCAGAGCCGGGGGCCCAAAACCCCATAAGGTGATTGCTCTATTCTTATATCTCGTTTGTGACCTAATCAAACGGTTTAATCCGCCGATGCAAGATGGCGCGTTGGTGTACCGCGGAAGATTCATTTTTCTCCTATTATTGTAAATTAGTATACATATAGAGCACGCACCGTGGTGCGAAAGGGGTAAACATATCGCCGAGCACCTTTCGCACGGTGAAACTGTTGCGTGTACGTGCAGCCTAGTGTTTCCCGAAGTCGGTGCTTGTTCGACTATTAATGTGAGAACGTCCAACTTCCACACAACAAAATCCATACACCTGTGTTACGGACAAACTGTAATCATGGCGACTAATGCCACAACGCGGATAGACGATCTCGTGCAAAGTGTCACCCTACACAGGCCGAGGAAATTATTGTTCTCCGGCTACATACTGCCATTCGCGGTATTGCACTCGATATGGATTTACAGTTGGATTTTTGTATATGGAATGAACGAGTATTATGAAGCGGGCTTAGTAGGCGTTGCGGCCATCGGCATGTTTCAGATTTTCGTGTGTTTGTGTTGCCAGTGGTCCGTGCACGTGCATACTTTCCTTAATTGCAGCTCGGTGAGTGGTAATTTTCCGTTGCGGTCGTTGCGCGGACAGGCCGGACGGTTCCCACGTGCGACTTATCTCGTTCAATATGTTTCGCTAACGTGGCAGCCATTCGAGCCGGCATTCTGCTAGTAATGGTCACACGAGCGCTTGGCGGGAACGTTCGAATGATTGAACTTGCGCCCGAACTTACGTCCGGTAAACATTCATGTTGCTTTCAGGAGAAAACACCGAGTAATGCGACAGTAGCCAAAGTAGTTCCAACACCTAATAATGGCAGCTCGGAACTGGTCAAGCTGTACCATTCGAGCAACCAGGAACCATGGTTTATATTTCAGAAGACCAAGTATTATTGGAACCCGACAAAGAAACGCTTCGATGGCCTTCAATTTCCTATTGATCACTCTGTTAAGCATTACCGTGAATGGACAGGGTACTTAAATGAGAATGAAATTGTACACGCAGAGGATAAATATGGCAAAAACAAGTAATTATCATCGTTAATCAGTTTGTTGTCATTGTAAGGCGACCATACATGTTGCGCTGTACCTGAGAGGTTCATCTGCACAGATAAACTGGAGCACGTATATGTACTACTTTTTATAAAACTATATAGGCCAAAAAGAATCCAAAATTGATTATTTTTATCTGTGCTACAGTTTAGACTTTAGTGTAGGTGTGGAGCTTGTTAGCACAGATTTCAGCTTTTGTTTTGTGGTTTGTTTAAAAGTGTCATTAAATCGTAAATATAATAACGAAGTTATCGAAATCTCTGTGCAGGTAAAGCGCAACCTGTGTCGCCACATTTACTTTTTCTGCAGTGGATAAATTGTATGCGTTTGTTTCAGGCTAGATATGGTTGTACCAGAATTTATGGAACTGTTCAAAGAAAGAGCGACGGCACCATTCTTTGTGTTTCAAGTGTTTTGTGTTTCTTTATGGTGCTTAGATAAATATTGGTATTATAGTATCTTTACAATTATTATGCTCATTATGTTCGAATGCACACTCGTGCAGCAGCAGCTTCGAAACATGTCTGAGATAAGAAAAATGGGGAACAAACCATATATGATCATGGTTAGTGAACATTGACAATATGCAGCTTGGTCTGAATATATTTATAAATTGATTTTTATTCAAGGTTTATAGAAATAGGAGATGGCGTTCTATGTTCACCGATCAGTTAGTACCTGGTGACATTGTCTCGATAACAAGATCTCAGAATGATAATTTAGTGCCATGTGATATGTTACTTTTAAGAGGGCTTTGCGTAGTCGATGAGAGTATGCTGACAGGTGACTAATTTTAATAAAACGTAGGTGATGCAATCTATTTGTATTAAATGGTACAATTCAAAATGCTTAGGAGAGTCTGTTCCACAAATGAAAGAACCAGTGGATGATGTTGACGAACAGAAACAGCTAGATATGGAATGCGATAAACTTCATATACTCTTCGGTGGCACAAAAGTTGTACAACATACGGCACCCATTAAAAGTGTACCTGGCCTTAAAGGTACCTATTTAAATGCAATACAAATGTTTTCGACTGCAACATCGTGTTTATCTATGTAACAAATTTTAGCTAACGATAATGGCTGCGTAGCTTATGTATTGCGTACTGGATTTTCAACATCACAGGGTAAACTTTTGAGGACAATATTGTTTGGAGTGAAGCGTGTTACCGCTAACAATTTGGAAACGTTCGGCTTCATTTTATTTTTGTTAATCTTTGCAATCGCAGCGGCTACATACGTGTGGATTAAAGGTACATAATAATAGTGCGGTGATCCTATCATCGGTGCAACGTGAATCACTAATTGAACTACTAATTTCAGGAAGCGAGGATCCCACAAGAAACAGATATAAATTATTTTTAGAATGCACGCTTATCCTAACGTCAGTTTTTCCACCGGAACTACCGATCGAATTATCGTTAGCTGTTAATACATCTTTACTAGCGTTATCGAAACTCGGTATTTAATTTGAAATATCAAGCACCAATACGTTACTCACTTCCAACTTGTATAACGATGCTAATCTGCTTTGTAGGTGTGTTTTGCACGGAACCATTTAGGATACCTTTTGCCGGAAAAGTGGAAATTTGTTGTTTCGATAAGACTGGTACATTAACCAGCGACAACTTGGTAGTCGAGGGTATAGCGGGCCTCGAGTAAGAAAACTTGACTAATCATATTCGTTTGAACATGAAGTATTTCCTAGTATTAAAATAATTACTTGACATTTCAGGGGGAAAGCGGATGTTATGCAACTTTTTGATGCGCCTTTAGAAAGTATACAAGTACTTGCAACGTGTCATTCGCTTGTGCAAATCGATGACGGAATCGTCGGCGATCCGCTCGAAAAAGCTACGCTGAGGGCTATCAGTTGGACCCTGACGAAAAGTACGAACATTGCTATTTGTCAGAGCCTGGTCACTAGTGCTATTATAATTACGATCTTACTTTTATATTAGATGATACTATGATACCCAGGAAGGGAGGCCAGTCGCCCGCTTTGAAAATTGTACACAGACACCACTTCTCTTCCGCATTGAAGAGAATGTCAGTGATCGCCGGATACACGACGTCGGGATCATCGGAAAATCATTACATGACCACCGTAAAAGGAGCGCCGGAGATAATCAAGAACATGGTGAATACTGCGTTAAGGACATTGTCCATTCTTCTCGTGGCATAACATAATTATTATTCCATCCTTAGTTATCGACAGTGCCAGTGAATTACGACTCGACTTACTTGTCATTGTCCCGTCGCGGTGCAAGGGTATTAGCTCTAGCATATAGAAAACTCCCTGGTCCTTTATCGTCCCAAGACTTGAGAGAACTAACGCGAGAAGATTTAGAAAAGAACCTGACATTCGCTGGATTCGTGATCATAAGCTGTCCGCTGAAGCCTGATTCCAAGACTGTTATCAAAGAGATAGTGGATGCCTCGCATTCGGTAACATTTCAATAACTATCAACGATCCTAATTGTCCTTGCCGCAAATAGCGCTATGTCTAGCTAATTTCGATGTTACAGGTTGTTATGATAACGGGTGATAATCCCCTAACGGCGTGCCACGTAAGTCGCGAATTAGAGTTCACAAAGAAACCAAATACCCTTATACTGACCTTCGTCGATGACGAGTGGGTCTGGGAGAGCGTCGACAGAGAGATAAGTCTACTCCTGAGCATAAAAAACGTTAAACCTGGCAATGAGATTTGGAAACAATATGCTCTTTGCATAACGGGAGAGGTGAACAGCTAATGCGCCTGAAAGAGAAACTATAAAACCTTCATTTTGATAGCGTGCCTCTTTATGTGTGTAATTTACAGGGTTTAACGTACTTGAAGGATAACGATCGGGAACTGCTACGGACATTCTTGCCGCACATCGTAATTTTCGCTAGGTGCGAACCAAAGCAAAAGGAATTTATAATCGTGACTCTGCAGGACCTTGGATATTCGACGTTGATGTGCGGGGACGGTACTAATGACGTTGGTGCTCTGAAACATGCCCAAGTGGGTTAGTTGAGTTTTAACGTTTCCGTTGGTACCGGGTTGAAGCAGGTTCATTCGTATTAACGGATCTTCTTCGTTAGGAGTCGCTATCCTTTCTAGTCCACCTGAAAGAGCTTCGAAGCGTAAGCAAGACGAGGCGAAGAACGAAAGCGCAGTATTAAATTACTCGTCCCTTAACGGCCCGAGAACGAACGCAAGAGCGTCCAATAACGCTAGATACAATACCAGAATACAGAAGATATTAAAAGAGCTGGACGAGCAGCCTGTAATCGTTAAGCTCGGCGACGCTTCGATTGCCGCGCCTTTCACTAGTAAAATGTCATCCATCGAATGTAGTAAGTTTCATTACGTAAGGAGGCTGGACAATTATAATGCAACGTTGTAACCGTGTTCCGCATTTCGTTGCAGTATGCCATGTCATCAAGCAGGGACGATGCACTTTAGTCACAACTTTGCAGATGTTCAAAATATTAGCAATTAACGCGCTCGCAGCGGCGTATAGCCAGTCCGTTCTTTATTTAGATGGAATCAAATTTAGCGATGCCCAGGCTACGTTGCAAGGCGGTCTGATAGCTACGTGCTTTCTGTTTATATCGAGATCAAAGCCGCTGAAAACGTTGTCGCAACAGAGGCCCCTACCGAATATTTTCAATCTGTACACTATATCCACCGTGCTGCTTCAATTCGCTGTACACTTTGTTTCTCTGGTGTATCTCGTGAGGGAAGCAACCATACTATCCCCAAGGTAACTACACACAGAGTGGCAACACGAAGGTCACGTATGGAATCATAGTTTAATGCTTATCGTTTGCTTTACAAAGGAACGATACGTTGTCGACTATATTGGCTACCAATGTTGCACCTCAGAATGCCAACATGAGCGAGCTTACCGATGACAAAGATAAACCTTTTGAAGCAAACTTAATAAACAGCACAGTTTACATAGTCGCCATGACAATCCAAGTGTTTACTTTTGCAATTAATTATCGGGTAAGATATTGGTATGAAGCAGACACGTTTAAATGATTTTGACGTGTATCTTGTATTTGAATACCGTGAATCTTGTTTAACAGGGTTACCCGTACATGGAGAGTCTATGGCAACATAAATCTTTACTGTACAGTTTTGTAGGTACTATTGCTGTTATATTGGGGTTATGCGGATTTGTACCTGATTTAGCAGCACAATTTGAAATTGTGGAATTCCCAAGTGATGTAAGCGAACATCAATTTGAAATTTCTTATATTACTTATTTATGTCACTTAATTTCGAAAAGATCCATGCTTCGATTTCGCTGAAATTCACTTTTTATATAAAAATTCGTTACCGCATCTTATAATTACTGAAACAATTGGCATAGAACTTTTTCGAAATGATAAGCTTAAATGATAAATTCGTAAGCTCCGCCGCTGTTTGTATGAACGTTCTAATGTATTTTTTCTTGGTTTGCAGTTCCGTAACCTGTTAGTTGAAGTACTATTAGCAAATCTCGTTATTGCTTATATAGCGGACAGAGCCTGTTTACGGCTGTTTGGGGAAGGAAGATATCGAAAACTGTGATCAGAGTACATTCTCCGTATTCCACTTCTGAATTTAAAGACGTGTAGAACAGTAAATGTGCAAATTAATTTTCTTCTCGTTTCACAAAGAATGAAGTGATCGCACGTAATGCTATTATTACATTTTACGGGTACGCTGTCGTCTTACTGCCATGTGAAATAACATTTTGTGAAAGACTGATGTGAACACCGATGAAAGACATCGGTTACTGAAACTAAACGGTACGGACAATTCTTTGTGAAACAACGTAATTAAAATGATTTAATAAAAGGGGGGGGGGGGTAAACATACGTGTATATGAGCATATGGTATGTATGTATATTAATGAGTGTAAGTATTATTACGCAAAATGAGATAGAACAAATGAACAGGTAATGTGAGTATGTACAGAGAACAGCTAAATAATTATTATAAAATTCACGATTATTATGTATCGATCGATTTTCAACCGATCTATTTGCATATACGAATGGCCCTAGTTTATAAATAGTCAACAAAGCATAATAAACTCTTGTACTGTAATTTATAAAGAAAAGAAAGCTGCATTCGAAGATCTCTTCATAAACACATATTATCGAATTCAATTACACACAATACTTCGCACTTCTTCCATTTAGTTTCGGGATAAAAAAAAAAGAGTTTCAGTTATATAAAAAAGGGTTATACCTACATTATTCGTCATTGTTCAGTTGGAGTGTTCTTATTACTTAATTGTAGTCTAGTAAGTTTTTTTTATTATCTGTGACAGAAATTACTTAGGTTTCGTTATACTGGTTATGTTCAAAGAGTTATGTATTTGGAAAAAATTTTTTTTATTTGAGATTTTGCTTAGAGAATTTCGTTCGAGAACATCGAAGATCATGCATACGGATCGTAGCCAAGGAAAAACTTCAATTTTCTTCGCCCCGAGTCGTTTGTCCATATTTCTACAGGGTCTTCCAAAATTATGTTACGGGAAATGTGGGGTTCTTGAGGTTATTTAAAGTAATTTTTTTCTTAGCGAAAATGCAATCCTCGGGTTTGTTTACTAATTATTCACGAAAAACACAGAAAATTCTTGTAAAGATGAAAGTTACTTCAAATGACCTCAGTAACCTCTCATTTCCCGGAAGTAACATAATTTTGGAACAGCTTGTATAACTTCGTTCAATGCCCTGAAGACGCAGTTATAATTTAAGTTCACAATTTTGATACATACAATAGATTTATTCGTTTATCAAACTCCTATGTTGCTAGAGCAAATTTCGGCAAAACGTTATGTTCCTAGTGCACTACACGTAAGAATGGTTTCAAACTTTCTGTTTGTGTATGTAATGTGTCGTCGATTTACCTTAAGGTTGTAACTCTGTCGGGAGAAGTGAGTTTAATTAAAGAAGAGCAACACATTATTTATAACTTTTAACATTATTTAGGAGCTACTACTTTGTACATTCCAATCTTTTTCGAACGAACAGTTGAAAGGAAAACAAGGACGGGTATTCTGTTTTAAAATGCGGTTCATTTATCCGAGATAAAGAAACACGGGTTTTTAAGGCAAAGTCACGTTCGGATAAGATACACGTTTGTACGATGTTGAATTTTTACGACATCGGTCTTTTTAGATCAAACTACACACCTAAAAGATGATTGTATATCGTTGTCTTATGGACGTTTGTAATTCTCTATTATTATTAATGATAAATTAATTTGTTGTAAATATCACCCGGAATTTCTCCCTGACACTACCTACATCACAGTAACAAAACTAGAGACCAGAAATGTAAGACTTGTTCAACAAATTTTGGCAAATTTTTGGCAAAAATCGGTAAGGAAAAATGTTCAAAACATTAAAGAAAAAGACACATGATTAAAAGATTTCTATGTTTGATTTCGGCTGAAAATTGTAACTATTGCTTACAACTGAAACCATTCGAATAAAATATACAGTGATGTGAATACTTATAGGACTCAAAGTAACTTTTACATTTTTACCGATATTTAACCATAACTTAACAAAACATTTGTACATTTCTATATTAGAAATAATAGAAAACAGAAATATTCAAATATTGTTTTTTTTAATTTTTGTTTAAATATCTGAGACAATGTAAAAGTTATACCTTGAGTTTATAACTATTCAGAGCACTGTAAGTGATCCCCTTTACAAAAAAACATCATATTTGCATATTCCCATATTAGAAATAATAGAAAATAGAAATACACAAATAAAATAGTTTGTCAAGGTTAATCGGTAACAATGTAAAATTGACTTCGAGTCTACAATTGTACACATCGCTGTAACAACTGTCATGCAATAACCTTTTCACGCTGATCACAACAATTAATTAAAACAAGCTCTAACGCTCCTATTCGAGAACAACTGAAAGATATAAACCCCTGTCTGATTTCTCATTACACGATTCAGTTGCAAGCGATCCTAACGACCTTTTAATAACGCTCAGGAACAATAGCAACCGGAATTTGTGTACAGCGTCCAACGTTCAAGTTCAAACGCGTAGCCATAGGGAAGGGGTTGATGACTCACGTTATCCATGGTGAGAATATTTTTAAGGTTATCATCTACAGCTGGAGCGAGAACTAACTCATTGTATGCAAATAATTATAGTTACATCTAGACTCATCCCACGTCGTTGCAAGCGAACCGCGTGGATAATTAGTTAATTACGATCTTCGTCGCGGCTGGATGCTCGAGTAAATCGTGCGATCGACGACGATCGTTGCACGATCCCCCGGTCTACGAGCGGTGGTTCCACGGACTGGCGATCATGAAGCTCGACGTTTCTTCGACGATTGATTGGATGTGCCGCCGTTTAAATTTCGCTCGGCTAACCGAGCTGGAGGAGTTAGATCGAGAAAACCGGTTAGCTCGGCATCGAGCACCGAAGCTCGCGGCAGTCTGCTGCTGGTCACGGCACACGGTTGTTCTCCGGTTTTATGTTTCCGTTGAAATTCGGTCATCAGTGTGTTTCCTTTTCTTTTTCTCCTCTTCTCCATCGAACATTGTCCGCTGTTTCGCGAGCTAACGATCGACGTCCAAGAGCATTTTAAACACTCGCCTGGTATTTTAAACGTTCGTTATCGGTACGTGTCGCCCCCCTTGTTTATTAATTCACGGTATACCATACCAGCATTGCAAACGCGTAAACATTCGTAAAAACTGATGACATTACGTCGACTCGACTTCGTTGTATATCACCACGAAATTAAATTAATATTAATTCGCGGACACCGGAGCGTTCGATCGATTGATTCTTAGGAGCAAAGGTAAACCTGATCGGTATAATTATTTAAATTTTTCGTCGTTTGTTTACCCGAGCGTTTCGCTGCCTACGGTTTTGTGCAGCAGGATCGTTGTCCACGCCGGAATCTCATTTTCGCGACTTCGCGTCCGCGTTAACGGTGTTTATTATTTTCACTGCATGATTTTCAATTTTAATTAGCGGAGTTCGTCGCGCGGGAATAATGCTGATTAATTCGTTGATTAACGGGGGCCCGGGAAGAGCGGGTCCGCGTGCGTGAATCGAAGAGGAACACGGGAAACGCGTGTACGAAGGAATTGCTTTCTAGGGAAGTGTTTTACGGTCAGTGTTTGTTGGAATTACTTACGAGTCGAACGGCGCGAGATCGTCGAGGAAGATATCAAGAGGACAAAGAGAAGAGAAACGGTGTCGTGGCCTGCGTTCAAGACAGAGAGAGTTAACACGGTCGTTTGTTTTACCGATCGTTGATCAGAATCGTCGCGATCGCGCCGCGAACACGAATAAACTGAGCCGCGATCGTCGAGAAAACGTGGCAATATTTTCGCCAGCTGATCGTCGGGACCACAGAAAAACTTGGATGTGAAACTCTGCTATCATATCGGACCACTTCTGCGTTACTATAAATATAAGGAAGACTATTTATAGAGTCGAACATGTGAGTGGACCTTAACCGACTGTTGGTAATATAGATATCAATTACCGGCGATCGATACGTTACCATTCCTTTTTTCCTTTCTGTTTCCTGTCTCTGTAACATGCTCCATGAGAACCAAACACGACTAATGTAACCCTGTCATTGTTATAAATAACATAAATGAAACAATGGAAGTCTTCCAAAGTTTAAATGAAAACAAATCTTGTGATTGTTATGAAATAGTGGTAGATTTATACGAACTTGTAAGATTTGTATTGTAATTAAACAACAGAAAAATAATGCAAATATATATACTTCTATAGAAAGAAGGTAAAGTTATAAGATAGAAATGTACGTTGTTTATAGACAATTTTTAAAATGTAGATTGCATCTTGCAGATTTGATATTGTCGTTTTGCGTAATTATTATCTGTATAATATCATAATGCCTGCATGAGCGCGTGTTTCTTTCAAAAAAGGAAACACCTCGCACACATTTCTGTACTTATGAACGTTAAAGTATTTCCAATAAGTCAGTAACATTAGGATATTTACAATCAACTAGTAACATTAAAATATTTACAATAAACTAGCGACATTAAAATATTTACGATAAACTGGTAATATTAAAATATTTCCAATAAGTTAGTAACATTACGATATTTACAATAAACTAGTGACATTAAAATATTTACAATAAACTAGCGTCATTAAAATATTTACGATAAACTGGTAATATTAAAATATTTCCAATAACATTACGATATTTAGAATAAACTAGTAACATTAAAATATTTACAAGAAACTAGTGACATTAAAATATTTACGATGAACTGGTAATATTAAAATATTTCCAATATGCGATTTTTCATAGCAAACTAAATGCGTGTATTCCAATGATTTCTTTCGGTTTAGAGTCTCAACGTGAAAAATACAAACGTCATTGTTAATTTTAGAATCCGACGGAATTCTTTAAACTCTTCGCGAACTGGAAATAACAACATCGTGAACGAGGTGGAGCATTGTTTCATTCGAGACGAGATTTTTCGTTCGCAAAAGAAATGTTTGCATGAGTAAAGAATCGTGGAAAACAAGTATGCACCACGCTATTATACTTGCCGTTTAGAAAAAGATCCGTCCAGTTTTCGAGTTCTGTTCTCGCGAAGAGAAAACGCCGGGATATTAACGATCCCGGAGTCTCGAGTTTCGCCGGCGTTATGCTCGCAATTATTGTTCGCATTCCAGGAATGGTCCCTCATTAAACCCCATTACATCTTTCACTTGATTCTACTCAAACGGTCCACTGACCCGTGACCGTTCGTATTAGCCAGCGCTTATGCCGCTTCCCCCTGGTGAAATTGCCGAGTTCCGCGCGGTGCTGCCGTCTGCCGGCGGCAGGTTACACTAGTTCAAAACACGCGCTATCTCCGACTACGCGAAACCGCTTGATTTCCTCCGATTGTTTCAATTCGTGGAATAGCGACGGTTCAAGGAATCCTTCATTGGCCGAAGTATAGTGTCAACCGTGTCTATTTTTATTGTCAACCTTGCCTCTCGAGGAAACCTAACTAAAATGGAATCCTCGAGGACTCCATGGAAGTATGTGACATTCTGTGAATTGCTCGTTAAATGAGTTCGACTTTTTCCGAGTATTTTATAAATTTTTTCTAGGATTTATAGTTGCAACGACTGCGACATTTTCTTTTGTAACCCTTGAAAATTGAATGTTTTTGATTGCTGCACAATCCGTGGCAATACCGGGCCATTTATAGCCTTTTTTGGATTAATTTTGAATGACATTTTGGAATTTATTTGTTAGCGTATATTAATTCATTTTTTTTATCAAATTTTCTGAGATTTGATTATTAAATATTATATGTTTTAACTGTTGGGGGGGGGGGGAAACTGTTTTTAATTATCGCATAATTAGCAAGGTTTGGGGCCATTTAGTCCCTTCTTGCATCTTTTTCAAATCACATTATTTAATACATTTATTCTTATTATTATTCTTATTATTATATTTACTATTATATTGATTCACTCTTTTACAAATTGTTTCGAGATTTATAGTTGCGATAACTTTTACAATTATTTTCTTTTTCAGTCTTCATAAAATGGATCTCTTTCCTACCATTGTACAATTGGCGACATTTAAGGCCCTTTTTGGACCTTTTATAAATTGCATTTTTAAGTAATTCATTCAATGTATCAATGTCACTGCATTTAATTAAGCAAACGTGAACTTTATCACCTGCTGCACCTGGATCTGAATGGACAAAAATGGTCAGAAACAAACCTTTTGTTACAAATGATTCAAGTCATTTAATATCAACATGTAGTTTTGACTTTGTGACATTATAGCCGGTGCCGAAACGAATTCAATGATACACTATACTATGACCTTGAACCTTGTAGTAACGATAAAATGATTTTGAGCACAACAAACGGGTTTCCAGCCTGCTGTGGAACGTTACGGCAGCTAATACGGTCGCGATCAAATATGGTCACAGAGTTGCCAACAAATTATGTGCATTCACGTATTTCCGTGAGCAGCGTTATTTAAGTTTACGCCCCCGTGAAAGTAGTTACGCAGTTTTCTCCGTTCGGCAGTTTTGCGCACTTGTGTCGTCGTTAAGTTACGTTTAGAAAGTTCGAGTCGCGTTTCCCGTTACAGTGTGAAATTACATTCTGAGAGTGTGTGCTGGTAAGTTATTTGTCCCGTAGCCGATACGATAGTCGACGAAAGACCGAGCCCCGGCCATGTGTTGCTCGGATAACACGTGTTTAAGATTCGAGAGTGCGCCGGGCAGGTCCGACACTCGGCGTCCGACTTTGGAACCTCGACATATAATTGTACGATTCACGTTCGATACAAAATTGGAACAATTTGTAAAAATGGACGGGAATTGTTTGATAAGAAAATTTGGTGCGGATTTGTTCGTAAAAGGAAAATGATTGCAATGCACGTCAATCTGAATTTTATGCTCGCCATTCAAGTAAAATTCGTAGAGAAGTTGATGAGAATTTTTTGAAATTATTTGACAAGGAAATTTGGTGCATTTTATGGTCACGTTTCATTAATTTAGATTTTAGTTTATTCGATGAAAACTTGAGGAGGTAAAAATAGTCGTGATTAATGAACCTCGTCGATTCTATTTAAAGGGAATTTTTTTTTATTTCATACTGAAAGGGAAATGGTCACATTTCACTAATCTGAATTTAATTCCATTCAATGATAACTTGAAGAGGTAAAAATTGCCGTGATTGATGAAGTTTATCAATTCCATTTAAAGGGAAATTCTTTTTTCATTTGATACTAAAAGCGACATTTGTCACATTTCACTAATATAAATTTTATTTCAATGAATTAAGATTGGAAGGGGCAGAAATGATCATGATTAATTAACTTCATCAATTTCATTTAAAAGGAAAGTCTTTTTTTATTTGATACTAAAAGGGAAAACGATCATATTTCACAAATTCAAATTTTATTCCATTTAATTAAAATTTGAAAAGGTAAAAATAGTCCTGATTAATGAATTCTGTAAAACTAATTTTACAGGAAATTTTGAGTATTTGATACTAAACAGGGAAAAATGATAACATTTCATTTATCTGGGCCTCATTTCATTGAATTAAATCCAGAAGGGGCGAAATTAGTCATGATTAATGAACATCATCAATTCTATTTAAAGGAAATTTTTTTTTATTTGGTACTGAAAGGGAAATATGTTCACATTTCACTAATCTGAATTTTATTCCCCTCAATGAAAACATGAAGAGGTAAAAGTAGTCATGATCGATGAACTTCATCAGTTCCATTTAAAGGGAAATTCTTTTTTCATTTGATACTAAAAGCGACAATTGTCACATTTCACTAATATAAATTTTATTCCAATGAATTAAGATTGGAAGGGGCAGAAATGATCATGATTAATTAACTTCATCAATTCCATTTAAAAGGAAAGTCTTNCCATTTAAAGGAAAAGTCTTTTTTTATTGGATACTAAAGCGAAAATGGTCATATTTCAAAATAGTAAAAATAGACATAATTAATGAATTCTACAAAACTGATTTTACAATAAATTTAGTGTATTTGATACTAAAAACGTGAAATGGAAACATTTCACTAATATAAACATCATCTCATTCGATTAAGACTTGAAAAGGAATAATTGTCATGTTTAATGAATGACATCAATGTCATTTAAAAGTAAATTCTTTTTATTTGATACTAAAAGGGAAAATGGTCAAATTCCAATAATCTAAGTTTGATCGGATCCAATTGAAACTTGAAGAAATAAAAATAACGATGATTAATGAATTTCGTCAATTCCATTTAAAAAGAAGTTTCTCTTTCTTTGATACTAAAATGGAAAATTGTCGAATTTCACGTATCTAAATTTTATTCCATTCAATCTAAACTTGAACAGGTAAAAATAGTCACGATTAATGATTTCCAATAAATTCAACTTAAAAAGAAATTTAGCATATTTACTGCTAGAAGGAAAAATGTTCAAATTTCACTAATCTGAATTCGACTTCACCCAATCAAAATATGCGCAGCTAATTTTAGCACCCAATTGAAACGATTGTCATTTCAATGACTATTTTAACTGGAATAAAAAAAAACAATTTGCTTTCAACTCATTTTTACTGATTGTCGCGAAGTTAGTTACAGATAATTTTAGAGAGATGCTTAAGCAAATGTTAATTCGATGGCAATTTTAATTAAAATCGAAAGATAGTTTATTGTTATTTGCTGATTGCACATATTTAAAATCATTGCCCACCGTAATTGCATCATGAAAATAATTAACTTTTGCTAATTGCAGTACAAATAGCTACATTTTAGAAAATCGCCAAATATTATAAAGAAAAAATATCAAATTTTATGAAAAAAGAACACCAAACTTTATAAAAAAATCACTAAATTTTGGAAAGAAGAAACACCGAATTTTATAAAGGAAAAACACAAAAAATTATGCAGTGAAACCACCAAATTGTGTAAAGAAAAAATACCAGACTTTATAAAGGAAAAATACTAAATTCTATAAAGATGTAAAATTAATCGTGTTTAATCACTGATACGAATTTTGTTTTTCAATCTCAATTATTAGTTCACGCAAAAATGATTAACAGAAGAACGGCAGATCGTAGTTTTATGCGCACATTTTGCAGATTTCAAAAATCCGCAAGCTTCGCGGAGACTGCAGTACTCGGCCGATCTCGTTACGTTGTTAAACACCCAATAGGTTTGTCGTGTTGTGTTCATAAAGTGCAACGTTTATCAAGCTAACAAGCTTTATTGGAGCACTAACAGCTGCGAGCCGCATTAGGGTCGTGTGCCAAGTACCAATTAGCGGCGTACGTGTACGTATGTATGTGGTAGGTGTTTGGACAGATGCAATAAACGGAAAGGATCTGAATTTTTTAATCGACAGGCTCGTTCGTTTTTTCATTCGGCCGACGCGAAAGTTTAATGCTAATGACGCCCGTAGAAAGAATATTCATGAGTCGTAAAACGTTGAACAAGTACACACAGCTGTAATGGCTCGATAAAACTGCGCTTTCTCTCTTACTTACGGCCTAATAAATTAGACCTTATGACTCTCGGAAAGCTAGGCGAGTACCAACGTAGATCGACGTTAAGATGACTTCGCGTTAATTCAACAAATTATTATGACTTTAATCACAATAGGAAGACAGCTCGCCTTCAATTGATTTTCGCCGATTGCTGTGAAAGTGGTCACAGTCGATTAAAGAAAGAAATTCGAACAAATGTAAATTGTGCATCTGAGATGGAAAGATCAGTCTGCTTTGTAATAAAATTGTTTTTCTTTCTTTATTGCTATGAAAGTGGTCACAGTCAATTAAAGAAAGAAACTGAATCGAGAAATGAAAAAGTCAGTTTCCTTTGAAATAAAATTTCTTATTCTGACTACTGTGAAAGTAGTCACGATTAATTGAAGAAAGAAATTGAAACGAGAAATGAAAAAGTCAGTTTCCTTTGAAATAGAATTTCTTTTTCTGACCGCCGTGAATGTGGTCACAGATAATTAAAGAAAGAAATTGAAATAAATGTCAATTATATCTGAAATCAAAAAGTCAGTTTGCTTTGAAATAGAATTTCTTTCTCTGACTGCTGTGAAAGCAGTCACGGTTGATTAAAGAAAGAGATTGAAACAAAATGCCAATTGTACCTAAAATTAAAAAGTAATTTTGCTTTGATATGGAATTTCTTTTTCTGATTACTGTGAAAGCGGTCACAGTGGATTAAAGGAAGAAATTAAAACAAAATGCCAACACTTTATCTAAAATTAAGAAGTTATTTTGCTTTGAAATAGAATTTCTTTCTCTAACTTTTTTGAAAATAACTATAGTTAATTAAAGATAGAAATTGAAACACTTCTAAATTCAATGTCAAATACAACCACAATAGGAAAACAATTTACTTTTAATTGACTTTTGCTAGCTGCAGTGAAAAATAGTCATAGGAAATTTTAGAAAGAAAACAATTGTTAGTTCAATAACTATTTGAACTTCAATAGTAAAACAGTTTGCTGTGAAGATAGTCACATCTAATTGTAGACAAGTGTCGATTCAATGTCACTTTCAACAACAATAGAAAACAGTTCGCTTCCAATTAACTTTTGCTGGCTGCAGTGTAAATATGCGCAGCTAATTTTAGCACCCAATTGAAACGATTGTCATTTCAATGACTATTTTAACTGGAATAAAAAAAAAACACAATTTGCTTTCAACTCATTTTTACTGATTGTCGCGAAGTTAGTTAGAGATAATTTTAGAGGGATGCTTAAGCAAATGTTAATTCGATGGCAATTTTAATTAAAATCGAAAGATAGTTTACTGTTATTTGCTGATTGCCCACCGTAATTGCATCATGAAAATAATTAACTTTTGCTAATTGCAGTACAAATAGCTACATTTTAGAAAATCGCCAAATATTATAAAGAAAAAATATCAAATTTTATGAAAAAAGAACACCAAACTTTATAAAAAAATCACTAAATTTTGGAAAGAAGAAACACCGAATTTTATAAAGGAAAAACACAAAAAATTATGCAGTGAAAC